GCCACTATCGAGTGGGCTTAAAACTCACAGTTTTAATGCATTATCCTAATTTAAGCAATTCGACCTTCATCCACAGGCATTCAAGCAGTTATATCACATAAGTAGCTAGCCTCATGGTAATCATGCAATTATGGCAACACTCACACGCATGCAAGGATGCTAAAGCAAAAGAACTTACAAGCACTACAAGCCAGAACAGAAGTTAGTTAGTAATCATGTGCGTGATCCTAGTTCATGTTAAAGTGGCTAATGTAACACATGCAAAATGCGATTAAGATAGGCTCGGCTAATGTATAATGACATGTGAAATGCTACAACTAATCACGTATTAAAATACAAATGCAGTTAGAGTGATGCACCGAGCCCGATGCATATAAGACAAATTTGTGGATGCACGCATGCATAGCATAAGGTATGCTAATTTAAATATGTCCTAGTCTACCATCATAAGCGGGTAAATAAAAGGGGAAGTGGGGGTTGGAAGACATGCACACACGCACCCACACTTATTACACAATTGCCCTCACTCGGAGGGTCCAAATAAATATTAAAGTTCGAATAAATAATACTAAATTAATTATTACAAAATTTTTAATCTAATTAACAAATTAAATGCAAAGAGAAGATGGTCGCAGCCCCTGCCTCGGGATGCGTGAGTGATGCATGCTCGGATTTATCTTGCCCCGAAAGCCCGTACCATACCACTACTGCCTCTGTTTACACTGCCCTGCTTCTCTGAAAACTGCCAAAATCCTTTATCTTCCCCCGAAAGCCCGGAAACCCATACCATGCCACTGCTGCCTCTGTTAATGCTGCCCTGCTCCTCTGAAAATTGCCAAAGTCTCAGGGTATCTTCAATGAGAACTGCATAACACCACCGGCTAAGTGAAATGACCACCGGCCATGGGAAATTTCCATCGGCTGCTTTCAAGTCCATCGGCCTCATATCCTTTGCCGGTCGGCATAAACTTCCTGCAGAAGCTGGTTTTTGACAAGAACAAGGACAGACAGTGCATGGCATAGAATTTCAAACACATGTATGCGCGGGCACACTCCCTATCATGCAAGGCACTCAAGGGAGCATGACCCTCGACCCTCGGGCCATCAATTACACATGATGGCCTAAGAGGCCAAGTTTTGCAACTTTGATATCAAATGAAATGCAAGCGCAAAACACATCAAAGGGCCCCAACCCCTATCATGATTGATCAAGAGGCAAGGGATACATGCTCAATGAAATGCAACATGGGCATGGAGGCTAAGTATGCAACATGAACATGCAAATGAGCAATGTATACTAGACGCGCAACCCAAACATGTAAGCAAACATGGCATGCAACAACATGCGATGATGGACTAAAACTAACATGGATAGCTCGCAAGCGTGCCAAAATCGGTGGCCATTAGATGAAAATGAGACTCTCGAAATGCGTGCACGCATGCACGCAAACCGAGGACCAAGCCTAAGGCATAGTATGAACCTCTAACAAGGCATGGCGAGGCATGAAATATGGCATACAAGCATGCAATTTCAGCACTGAAATGTGGTATAAAATAGCCCCGAATCACGGCAAAATAGCACCCAATGCATGAAATGAAACCGAAATGCAAAACTAGGCCCATGCATTGGCCTATAGCTATATAAAACATGCATTATTCGATTATGACATGTGAAGACAGATTCTATACAGCCCCAAAACAAGCATTTTTTCAGTTTTAAACAAGGCCAAACAGCAAACACACATAGGGCAAAACTAGCATGCAAAAATGGCCCTAAATGTGAGATAAAGAAGCAACTCACAGTTGCTGACCCCAAACAAATTAGGGCCCTTAAACAATGTTGAAGAGGGGCCAAAAACATGACCTTTTACAGTTGATGGCCAAGCCCAAAACAGTATACAAGCATGCTCAAAATACTATGCAAGATTAAGGCCAAAAAAGAAGCTACAACATAAAGTATACAAAGGGTGTCTCAAACAGTCATGGACCCTTAATGAAACATGAAGAGGGGGTCAAAATAGGGCCATTTTCAGTTCGGACCAAAGTCCAAAAACAGAGACACAATAGGCTAATAAATCATGCAAAAATGGGGACCAAAGAGGGGTATAATGACAAGTGGCACATGGAGGTCCCAAACAGTGATGAGCCCTTCTTCAATATTGAAGAAGGGCTCAAAATAAGCCTATCTACGGTTTACATCATACTCCAAAACAGATCACACATAGGCCAAAAATACTATGCAAGATTATAATATACAAAGGGGTAATGAAGCAAGTGCAAGATGGGGGTCCCAAACTGGGTAAGACCCTTAATGAAACAAGAAAATGAGCTCAAAAAAATGATATTTCCAGTTATGGTCGGAGCACAAAACAGCAAGCAAAAGGGGCTAAGAAAACTTGCAAAAATGAGCTAGAAAGAGGGAGAAATCAACTCACCCTTGAAGACCAATCATTCGCTACCTCTTGGACCAAGAAAAGCTGCCTCCTAGCCTCTGAGAAGGCCCTCCAAGCTGCTGGAATGGAGTGGTGGTGTGGTGCTATAGGGTGTAGCGCAAATAGGCCAAGAACAAGGGGCTTTGAACACTCTAACACACCCAAATGTAGAGAGAGAGAGATATAGAGAGAGAGGGTGATATATATGCTATATGTATGTATTAGGTCTGATTTTGCTGAACCAAAACAATGGAGGAGGATGGGTTTCTTTTATAGAGCAAGGAAATGGCATAAAGCTTCTCAAAGAAGCTATACAAAAGGGGCAAAGGGATCAAGCTTCTAAGAGAAGCTAATGCAAAGGTGCAAGCTTCTTGAGGAAGCCAAGACAACGGGTCGTCAAGTTCCTCAAGATAGCTCAGCATCAATATCGTCACTAGCCACAATATCGTCTGAGCAAGGGGTGCCAACAAAGAGGGTCTCAAAAAGGGGTGAAAAATGGTGGCACAACAGCCACATCACGTGCATGGGAGCAGAGTCTGTTGCTCCCTGGCCATAGCTGGCATCCATTCAATCTGTAGAATACTCCGGACAAGGTCATCGGCTTAGCAAACTTGCCTCGGGCAGCCATCAGTTTCTTGGGACTGTGTCTGGTCCAATCTATCTTGGCCGTCTACGCCATCTATTTGTCGATCGGCCATTTGTTTTGGCCGGTCGGCAGGAAAAATCTGCTCTGCAGGTCCAACTTCAAATGGGCATAACTTCTTCATATGAACTCTTTTTCAGGTCATTCTTGTGTCAAAATTGAAGCCCCGGAAGTAAGCTTTCCAATGGCACCAGCCGTGCATCAAAATTCCAACTATGTAAAAAGTTATGCTTGTTTTAGTGAAGGCTGCTCAGTTTCGGTCCAACCGGGATGATTCCCAACTTCAACCAATCATATCTCCGTCCTCCGGTCTCGGATTTAAGAGATTCTTGAATGAAAAATGAAGCCCTGGAAGTCTTCTTTCCAACGGTGGTGCCCTCATAGCTTAACTCAAAGTGTATAGACAAATAAGCTTGATTTAGCGAGGACTGCTCGTCCCTCTCTTAGCAATTCTTGCCTATCTTCTTCTCCAACTTGGCTTCTCCCCTCTTCTCCTCTTTTCTTCAACTTCAAACCCCTAAGCAAGGTGTTTTGAAAGATTTTTCAAAGATTTCGTCTCTCTTTCATTCATTTCCACTTTGTCTTTGCTCGGTTTATCGAAAAGCACATTTTTTGACAAAATGTGAGCCTCGGAACATCGTAGAAACTTTATTTCAAAAATGATTTGAAAGAGAGGGTTTTAAGGTCTAAAAATCATTCAAAATAGCTTTGGTCCAAGATGGGGTGTGAAGTTGGGATTTGACCCTCTCATTGCCGAAGAAATTGAACCTTTGCCCTGCACACCTTTCATCATCGAGCATACCATCAGTAGCGCCCAAGTCTTAAGGGCGGTCAAAAATAGGGTGTCTACATTCATTTACTCACTCCTAAACACAAAGTAATGGGTTTCATATTTATAAATACATATGAGACTTGCCCACTTATGTCTTGGTGCGAGACAAAGAGATAATAATAAAATATTATATGTAACATTTTTCACTTTTTTATGATAGAATATGCTACATATAATTATATTTTTTTACTCATTTTTCTTACTCCAAGATACAAGTAAGTTGGTCCTATATATCTTTATTAATGTCGTCCCAATTACTGTATGTCTAGGAGTGGGAAAAAAAAAGTAAGAAATATGATAATATGTAGTATTGCTCCTTTATGACAAATACTAACAAGTTTTTATGGGTATTGTTTAATGTACACCTTCAAAAGGAGCACATCAGAAGAAAAGAAAAAAAATTATAGTAAAAGTTACAAATTACGAAATTATAATGTGCGCCCTTGAAATAATATTTTTTGTAGTAAAAATTATACTCTCTGTGATAACAGTTATACATTTTGTGATAAAAATTATATTTTTTTGTATAAAGTATATATTACATTAATAGTTTTTTCATTGTTTAGTATTGAGATTTTTGCAACATGTGATAACAAAAATGCTACATATTTCAAAAAGTTTGTCAAAAAATTTACAATACTCACATATATGTGGGTCTCAGGCCCATGTAAATACTATGTAGAATTTTTAATAATTTTTCCGAAATTCCAAGCATTACTCGTTGTAAAAATAGTAAAAATATTAAACTAACGTTGTGTTTAATTGAAAAATTTGGAAATGGATTTGAAAAAAAAAATTTGTAAGAAACTAAATAAAATATAGATATATTTTATTCACATTTCACCTATTTTTTTCCTTCTTTTTCCAAATCCCTTCCTAAATCTTTCAACTAACCACAGCGTAAATAAAAATATATAATAAAATAAAAAAAATTTCTAGAATTCTACACAATTATATATATATATATATTTCATGATACCTTTAAAACACTTGTTAGCTGAACCAATTTTTTTTTTTTTTTATTACATCATAAAAGCTTCGCACCCCTTCTCAAACTAAAAGCAAGCTTCACTTTCTGAAGTTTCTTCTCTCTCTCTCTCTCTCTCTCTCTCTCTCCATGTTTTGGTAAACCACTTTAGGTAACCAGAAAACAAGCCCATAAGAGTCTTTTAGACCTGCCACCACTCCATATCATAACCCCTCTATCTCTCTCTCTCCCTACCCACATTTTGTATTTTGTTGTGAAGTGAGGAAGAGGAGAGAGAAAGCTAGCTAAAGTAGCTTAGAGAGCAGAGCAGAGCAGAGGTCAAAATGAAGAGGTCACCTTCTTCTTGTTGGTCTTCATCTTCAACTTCAAGTGTTGAGTCTGATCTTCATCCTGCTCATCATCATGATGATCAATCAGCCCAGCGCAAGCCCAAGGCCAAGCGTCCCAGATCCAGACCCAGAGGAGCTATCAATAAAAATCTCAACCAAAGCACGTCCCAAAAGATTATTAATCCCAACTCTCCCAGAAGAAGCTCCATTTACAGAGGAGTCACCAGGTAATTAATAATTCATAGCAATAACTCTCTCTCTCTCTCTCTCTCTCTCTCTCTCTCTCTCTTCATTTGTTTGCATGCATGAGAATTTGGGTTGATAATTGATAATCAAATGAATGAAAAATGGCATTGAGATTGAGATTTTGATTGTGGACAGGCACAGATGGACAGGGAGGTTTGAAGCTCATCTGTGGGATAAGAGTTCATGGAATAGCATTCAAAACAAGAAAGGAAGACAAAGTGAATATCTATATCTATATCTATATCATCAATCTTCAATCTTTAATTAATTAATTAATTAATATTAATTTAATTTGTAAACTTTTCAGCATAGATTTGTATTTGAAAATAAATAAATGATAGAATCAAAGAGATCTGCTGCAATCTATGTTTGTTATTAAATATAATAATAACAAGTGAAAGTGCCGAACAGCATCTGTTGCTTTGCATGGCATGCTTGTGGGTGGGTTTCTGACTGACTGACTCCTGTGTTTTTATTCTTGGATGGATGGATGATGGTTGATGGTTGATGGTTGATGTTGATGATGGATCCTTGTCATTGCAACGTTCTTTTACGCTTTTGTCGCTGCCATTAGTTTATTTGGGTAACTTCTTCCTCTCTTCTCTCTCTCTTCATTTGTTTCTTATTTTCTTCTTCTCCTTCTGTTTTCTCTTAGCAGATTAATGTTTGGTTAATTACATCAAAATTCACTCAACTATTAATAAACATCACGTTTTTCTCGTTATAAATTCGTACATATTCACTCATCAATTACGAAAATCGCACAAATACACCAGTTTGGAGATGACTTGAAAATATAAAAGCTATACATTTACATAGCTAAATCTACGAATTTTGAGGAGGTAAAGTGAGTGTAATTAACCTTAATTTTTTTTATTATTATTATCAATTATCCCGTTCTTTTGTTATTATTATTATTATTATTATTTAAATTATGATTTTCGGAAAAGCTACTACTTTTGTTCCAAAAAAAGGTACCCGAAAATGAATCGGCACAATATAGATTTAAATTAGATGTAATATGGGTCACACATTTTATTATTTTTTTTAATACTTTTTGAATACTTTTCTCACACTTGGTCGTAGAAGATTTTTTTCTAAAATTTGGGTGGTACTGCGAAGTAGTTTTTGACTGTTGCATAAGTAATACAAAACTAAAAAGATTGCCTATTTTGTTATTATATTTTCTTTGACAACAGGGAAGGGCTAATAATTTATTATTTAAGTGATCCTAAACAAAATATCTTATTGCATTAATGTGGGGCCTACCTTCGTATTTATTATGTATAACATTTTTCTTATTTTAAAAGGCCATTGTTGTATAATAATGTTTTGTTGCCTCAACCCCAATGCATATGTTGTGGAGTATTTTGAGAAGTTGGTAAAAAATTAGTTTTTTGACTTTTTTAGTTTATTTTGTCTTTGTGTGAGTAAGTTATGTGAAAAGTAATGTGATTCAAAATTAATAAAAAACAGAAAGCTGACTTTTTACTAACTTCTCAAAAGAGCACTGTCTATGAGAGCCATTCCCTTTGAACAATCTTTTAAAATTTTCAATGTCAGTATTGTGAAATGTTTGTCACTTAATTTATTTCACTTTTGAATGTAGGGTAATATGATAATGAGGAAGCAGCTGCTCATACCTACGATCTTGCGGCCCTTAAGTATTGGGGGGCCGATACTGCATTGAATTTTCCGGTACTATTTTTCTTCTTCCTTGTCACACTTCTATCTTTTTAAATTTTGCTAAGCAAGTTTGTAATTAATTTTAGTTATGCATGAATTATTTTCAGCTAACAATTTATTTATTTATTTATTTATTATAAAATATTTGCTTAAAATACAAATTGATACATACACCAAGGAACTTGGGGAAATGCAAAAGCAGTCCAAGGAAGAGTATTTGGCTTCCCTACGACGCCGAAGCAGCGGATTTTCCAGGGGCGTTTCTAAGTACCGTGGTGTGGCAAGGTAACCCACCACCAAACTTTGGGGAAATTCTATTTCCACAAACTCTTTATCTCTGTGTACATAATTTTTCAATGCACACACTTATGAAATTGATTTTATAATTTTGTTCTCAATCCACACATCACTTGTTCTAATTATATCCTAAGCTACACATACCATCTAAACCATTAGTTCCACGGAGATAAATGGTGTAGACCCATTTTGTATTCCATTTACAAGGTATGTGGATGGAATAGAAAATGGGTCTCAATAAATGCTAATTAATTACTCCAATTATTGTTAGCTCCAGCTCATAAGAAGACCATTCAACTTCTCCATGTGAAGGCATGGCATTGCTTGTCAAGGAATGCGGCTTGTCGGTTGGCAAGCCGCAAAGGTGGACGGATTTCGACGACCACCGAAAGGAGAAGATGAAGGCTGCCTCTCCTCACCTACCATCTATGTGTATAAATGGAGAGG